TCAGTATTCAGTTATTACTTGGATTACTAGTTATTAGTACTGATAGTTAATCCTATTTATTCATCATATCATTACTGTTAAAATATTCGTGCGTTGATAGTCATACTAAAAAGAAATAGCGTGGAATACGGTTTGCTTATACACAGCGCAAAGATGCTATGGTCAGTCCGGTGACTGACCAATGCCGACGTTTCGGCCCGCATCTCACAGGCCTTCGTCAAGGTAGGTTGGTAGTCCGCACCAGTCAATAGTTTCGGAGCCAGCAGGCAAGCTTTCGGTCTGTTCTGCTGGTTAAATAGATTTTTGGCGACATGGGCAATTATATAATAATTATCCAGTTAAATTCGTTAATAACATCATAAACCGTAGAATACGCCACTTGGAATCTATTTGTACTACAAACACGACTAAGAATAAACCTTACTTAATTCTAACGTATCATAAAATGTGTAGTGAAAGGTTACAAAGATTGTTTAACACTAAATATAATATTAAAGTCGTATATAAAGGCTGTAATAAACTTAATACGTTATTAAATAATTCTAAGAATAATAACTCTCAAGCCTGAGTTTACAAATTACAATGTAATTGTGAAAAATACTGCATAGGAGAAACTGGGAATACCGTCATGCAGAGAACAAAGACCCACCTGTCAAGCTGGAGATGATGGATTTTAGCGGACGAGCGTGAGTGACAGGCGATAACGAAGCACCCAGGAAGAAAACAAAGTGTCACCCTCATCAAAGTCAAAGAACAATGCGTAAAGACACCCGGAATTAGGCAGCACGCTGCAAGGCAAGGGCGCTCCCCTCGATGGTCTCAGTGTAGCGGCATCATCAGGGAGATACATTGACCATATAGGCGAATAAAATAGAGATTAATCATTCAATCCTCCAAAAACATCAACCGTGACAAAGGATACGAATTTTGCGCGGATTGGATAATCCTCTTTGCTTCTGTCGCCCAGAAACTTTCTTAACAGCAACACGGTCCGAAAACTTGCCTTCTGGCTCCGAAACTGTCGACTGCTGTGGACGACCAACCATGTTCCCGAAACCTCACCACCAACCTATCTTGAAGAAGGCTTGTTAGACACTGGTCGAAACGTCGGCATTGGCTAGTCACCGGAGCGACCAAAGTATCTTTTGGTTATTTATAAGTCAACCACGTTTTGCAGTATTTATTCCAGTGTCATTATTGTTGCTAATAAATTATCAGGTTGTTAAACAATAAGGTTTATTACGCTTTTCGTTTATTCCTAAGCCAACCGATATTTCCATTGGCTGCATGGATAATTTGCAATTTTTGCTTATTTTGTCCTTGCGGATTTTGCTTTTAGTCCTTGCGGCCGGGTTTTCGTCTGAGGATGTTACTTATGATATTTTTCTTAAAGGCAGGATGGTATGGTCTGACAGTCCATGTTTAGCTTTACAAGCCTTGCCCTCTGCATTATTAATAGAAACGAAGTGTCAGTGAAGGCAAACTTGGGCTGACAGATCTCACCTTGCTGCCTTTGTGAAACATGTCCCAAAAAGCATTTACAGACTGCAAACCCGGATTCAGGGATATTATACAAAATCGTTGCAACTATTAACTGAATTCGTGCAGTTTGTTTTGCACTCGCCTATTCTCTCGTATGCCGGTATTTGCCTGCCCTCCAGACACAGACTTTAGGTTGAATTTACTAGTTGACGTTTGCCTCTCAGATCGTTGCAGTATTAACTTTGAGCCTGAGTACTGTAATAGGGCTAATTTCGCTTTGATGCTTTTAGATTGATCTGGTCGAAGTTAACGAAGTCGGTACCATCTGCATTCGTGTCACCCTACTTTGTAAGGAAAAACGGTGGGTTAAAGTAGTCCTTGGTCATCAAGGAGTTCATCTTACTCAAATAGCCAAAGACGCCTCACAAGAACTTAGAAACTTATTTCAGCAAGAAGTTTACATACGTATCAACGTGGCCAGCGCAAAATAAATAATTTATTGCTTGTTTGATCGCTAAGGTACTTATTGTTTTAAATATCATTTTCGATTGCTGCTGGCATCAGATTCAAAAGCAAAACTATTTTTTGCTCAGAGTTAAATTTACTCTGATTATGAAGAGCTTTTGGATGCCAGCTTTAGATTTCGTTACATCGCTTCATGCTGCTGAAAATGAAGATTTCATTTTTTTTAAATATTGATAAATGTTTTCCATTGAAGTAGCGCACGTGCTCCTGGCATCAGCGAGACTTTCCAGTCCGATTGCATCATCACATTATGGCTTAAATTTAAAACCATGTTTTTCTTGTTGTTTTTTCATCGTTATCTGATGCAAGCAGAATTGCCTAGCCTTGTGGTATTTGACCGTTAAAACCACACAGACTCTGATTATGCAATGTTGTCTTAAAGAATGACTCATTCGTACGGCAACAGAAACGATTCAAGTAGGCCAAGTGTATTATTTGAATTCATTTTGAATTATATAGTTCGGTATTAGACGCGTCATCCGGTACCATGTCGCACCAGAGTTTACCACGGTCAGCGTACTATGTCAGTGATGCTGTGAACTTGAAGCTCAGGCACGTATAATATGATATGAAATACCATCCTGTAAATTCTCTGGATATACACGGAACAAATTCATCTTGCTCCTAGTAGCCCAGTGGACTATTTAAGCAGGCCACAGCTCCATGACACTTTAGCATCTTTGTTGCATGGATAAAATACCGCGTCACTTTGTTGAGTGTACCACAAACATGCATATTCCAACACGAACAGAAATGTCTCGATTTGTAAGCAATTATTTTCAGAAACATAACATAATTGCGCGGTATTTATGCGTAATTTAAACTTTGCAAATTTTTGATGATACCGCTAGTAGGAACGACACTTTCTTGTCGATGATCGAAACTATTTCTGCAGTGTAACTTTGAGCCTGAAACCAAATAGATTTCGTTTCTACTATTACTGACGTAGAGAATGATTTGTAGAAGTATATGGCAGCATCCTTACCCCCTCTTTTCGAGAAAGTGAAGGAGACCTTTCAAGTACGTTAAAGCTCCATGGCATTTGAATACCTGCGGTGCGTCGATATAAGACCCATCACAGTGTTTTCTTGAAGTGTGCATTCTTGTGCACAACGGAGAATGGTTTTAAATCCGAAAGAATTTAGCATAATCGTAGGTTCGAAAATAACTGAGATCGGTTTGCACTACCACCGCAGTAGCGAGTGGCTCAAGAACGCATTACATCTTGTATACGATGAAGCTTTCCAGTATTAGTAAAAGAAGAAATTTTTTAAGCCAATTAACGGTATGTAAGAGCGCAATTAAAACAAACAAGTAAAACAGCATTCATCAAACCCTTGGCTATGGTCGCACTGCACAAATGAAAACCCGTTTGCTTTAGGGTTGAAGGCTTAGCAACACAGCATTATCTTGAAAGCATAAACCGTACTAGTATAGGAGTTCTTCGGACTTCTACACGAGTCACTCGGAACAGTAATCTAGTATTGCGGCATTTTACCTTATGATACTGATTCTCCACTAAGGCTGCGGTAGGCTTTGGCCTCTTGAAGTTTGTCTGTATCGCACCGACCAAGTAAGTAACGGGAACAAGCCGTTTACAGACAGAGAACGTGGTGCTTTGGTGTGATCATGCTGAAGCCTACGGCACTTGAAGTTATTACGTACGATGCGCGCCATCACGGCTACAATTTCCCATGCCCTAGCTTATGGCAGATTGAAAAAGCACAACTATTCTGCCGTAAAAAATGTACTTAGACTTTTAAGGCGATTGTCATCAACTTTTCAGTGATAGAAGCGGCATGGGAATTAATGTAATCGATAATATTACAGTTTTTTGCTTGTTATATTCAAGTATTCTTCGTATTACGCAACTTTGTCCCCAACAGGAAGATGCAGTTTATTGAAAAATAATTTCCTGATATGTTAGTACAGTCAGAGGATCAATTTTCTTGCAGCGTCAAACTAATTTACTTTCTGGTTCCATTGTCATACTTAGAGACAGACTGCTACGGCATTCATTCGCATGCACCAGGCACTCTAATATAATGTGATGAGGAATGAAGAGTTTATTCATTATTTCACGCTTGAGCATGAAGTGTTGGAAGCTTGGGTAATTACTTTTTCAGGTAGGCTCCATTGCTTATTCATTCACTAAAAAAAATATCCTATGTTTTGTCAGTGGCATCAGAGTCTTCAAAAAGCAAGCTGTAATGAAATTTGATTGAGATTTTCATTACAACCTTCATTTTAATTGTCGCATTCCTTTCGATTAATGGTAAGTATTCATTCGAAACTGGATTTTCTGTTACACGAAAAGAATGGAGGCTTTATATATGAACGAGGAATTCCATCTCTGATATTATAGTTAGCGGAAGTTCCTCTCAGTCAGGAGCAGCATCATTAAGAGTGAGATCATAGTGCCATGGTGTTACTAAT